GTAAGCAATGCTGAGAGCAGGAAAGAGCACAGAATCAACTGGGTTCACAAAGCCCCAGCCCTCTGGGGCTCTCCAACTTAGGGGCAAAAAGGTCGTTATGGTCCAAAGACCATCACCAGCCACCCCATGCTGCACAGATTGATTTTCACACTGGTGACTCAGAACCATCGAAGAAAGGTTACTTAAACTCAGCACAGTCTGTAAAAAAGCAGGGAGAATCTTTTTTTTTTTTTTTTTTAAAGTTTATTTTGCAATTTAGAATGTTCTTTAGTGAAGCTAGATACCAAAAAAACCAAACCAAACCCACTGCCATCAAGTTGATTCTGACTCATAGCCACCCTTCAGGACAGAGTAGGACTGTCCTATAGGCATTCCAAGGCTGTAAATCTTTATAGACACAGACCACCTCATCTTTCTCCGACAGAGCAGCTGGTGGATTTGATCCGCCAGCCTTTTGATTTGTAGCTGAATGCTTTAACCATTGCACCACCAGAGCTCCTGAAGATGGATAATGAGGCTTTATGGCATCCATTTATTTTCTTCTTATTCTTGCAAGCAGTGAAAGAAAATAAAACAGATATGTGAAGCCACAGACTCATACAGCAACACAGGAGGCCTGGGAAAGGAAACTCTTGTGATGAAATGGCAATGCTAGGTTTGTAAAACCGTGTTGTGTCCTGACAAAGCCTCGGAGCACAGTGCTTAGAGTCTAGGCTGAGGGTCTTACTGCTGGGATTTGAAATCAGGCTTTGCTGCTTAGCAGGTGCATGGGCTCTTCAGTAAATGACTTAGCTTCTTTGTGCCTCAATTCCCTCCTCATCTGTAAAATAGGTATAATGAAAGCGTCTACCTAAAAGCTTAGTTGTGACACTAAACTGTGGAGCGCTGAGGTCAGTGGTAAACATTTAGTCTTCACTGGCTACTGTCGTTTGTAACCCATCTTCCTCCGTTGCTGCCGTTATTCTTAACTGCTGTCGGAGGAAGGCAGAGGGCTAAACTGAACACTGCAAAATGCGTGCTGAGCAAAAATGTTCAGTCCCCAGCATGCAGTAGGTGGCGATTTCACTTCAATGCTAAGATTTTGGCTTTCTTTTGCTAAGTTCCATATACTTTTATTAGTGATCAGGTTGTTCCCCAAATATCTCTTAGGTTGCTTTAACTGAAGAAGAAAAGAATGAAAGTTTTTTTTTCCTGTTTTCCTTGTTTTGTTACTTGAGATGCTCAAATAGTGTTGAGTTCATTGAGGTAACCTGAGGTATACAGTGGCTGTGACATGATCCCACCCTCACTGGGGTTGAGGGTAGCGAGGCCTGGGGTAGGGGATTGGCCAAGGCAAATATAAAAGCTGGAGTCCCATTTTCATGAGGTAAATCTTGTACTGAATTTCAGTGAGCATTATTTTCTGCATGAGGAAATAAAATGATTGAGTGCTTAAAATCTACAGCAGTGCTGGGTAAATGGCATAACCTTTTTTTGATTTTTTTTGGTGTGAAATGTTGGGTTGTGTTGACTGCAAGGTGAATGGGAAAGTCTTGGTAGGAATGTGGCTTCCCTGCTGCTTGGAGGGGAGCATGTAATTTGTTTGCCAAAGGCCCTGGTAGCCTTCAATCTGTCAAAATGTTGCAAGCTGGGAGCAGTTTGCCAAAGCAAACTATCAAAGTGAAATAACACACGAGTCGTGCGCCGTGTGCACACACACAGACACACACATGCTCCCCATTCCACAAATGTTAATTTTGAATTGAGTCAGGAGGAACAAGGATTTGGGCTAGATTGTTGGTGTTTTGAAGAGGTGTGGGTGTGGCTACAAACTACCAATTAGATAGGTATGTGTGAACAGGGTGAGGTGTCTTCTAGCAGAGTTGACTACAGCAGGGGTGGGAATCTTCCAGCTCTTGGCAGGGTTTCATCTGGCCCCTGGGGTTATATATTGCTCTGGCTGCTGTTATTGCAGCCCAAAGAATAATTACCCCTCCGGGGGAATTTATTCTATTCCATTCAGAGCAGGGTCCATTTAATAACTAAGATTTTATTCCAGAATAAATTTTATTGGGTATCTCTATGCATTTCAGCTTTGCTAGGACCCAGCTAGATGAAGAAAAGAAGCATTTGAACATCTAAATATAACTTGTGTTGCATTTTTGCAACCAGAGGTGCCCACATATTGCAGTCAGACCTCACATAACGCCTATGGGAATTTTTTTTTTTTTTTTTTTTTTGCAGGGCTTCACAAAGAAATTCAAAAGCACAAATGATTTTATAACTCCTTCATAAAAGAACTTTTTAAAGCTCTCAAAGTTACTTTAGGCATTTTTCAATGTGCTAATTTACACTATTTCCTCTTTTCTTCAAATTTCATATGTTGTTAAGATGATGAAGTGTCATTCATTAATTTGGTGATTTAACTTCTTAGCGTAGAGCAGGCACTCTGCTAGATGCTGGGGGACAAAGTGGTGACAAAACAAACTCCCTGCTTTCATGGAACTTACATTCTAGTAGGGGGAGGGAGACATTAAATCGCCACCAGAGCTTCTGTATATGAGATAGTAATTGCTAAATAAATAAATAAGGGGGCTGAGGGGAGTGGAGTCCCCGGTTGGTGCAAAAGTTAATGAGCTCGGCTGCTAACCAAAAGATTGGAAGTCGAGGCTTCTCAGAAGCAGCCTTGGTGATCTACTTCTGAATAAAGCACCATTGAAAACCCTATGGAGCACAGTTCTACTTTGCCACATGTGGGGTCGCCATGAGTTGGAATCAACTCCATGGCAACTGGTTGAGAGAGGGATTGCTGCTTCCCATGGTATTAGGAAGCGAGCGCTGGTTGCATAGTGGGTAAGATATTTGGCCGCTAACCAGAAGATCGGGAGCTCTGATGGCTTAGTGCCTAAGGTATTTGACTGCTAAGCAGAAGACTGGTGGTTCAAACCCACCAGCTGCTCCTTGGAAGGAAGGTTGGGCAATCTACATCCGTAGTGATACCGTCTCAGAAACCCAAGGAGGGGTCGCTGTAAGTCGGATCTGACTGGATGGCAGTGGGTAGGTAGGTAACCAGAAGGTCAGCGATCTAAACCCATCTGCTGCTCTATGGAAGGAAGATGAGGCAATTTACTTCTGTAAAGATTTACAGCCTTAGAAACTCAATGGGGTTGCTATGAGTTGGAATTGACTCAGTGGCTGTGGGCTTGGTTTTTGGTGTGGGGTCAGGAGAGCCTTACAGAGAAGGGAACATTGAGCAGACACCTGAAGGAGGTGAGGAACAAACTGTAGAAATATCTGGAAGTGGGCAACTTGGGATCAATTCCCCTGTGATCTAGAATCTTCCTTCCTTAGTGTTTCCCTCCCTCTCCTGCCCCACATCCACTGAACATTATGGAAGCACAGCCTCAGATCAGGATCGGTGTATGCAAAACTGCCCCTGATTGTATTACAAATATGTGGCTTCAGTGTCTGCCAAGAGCTCTGAGGGGCTGAGGTGTAACACATTTATGCAACTGCTGTTCTTTGTTTCCTTTTTTTAATTTGTTTTTAAACAAAACCACACTTTTTTTTTCTTTTTCTTTTTAAGTGAGTATACAACGCCAGGATGTGTTATAAATGATTCAAATTTGTAACCATGGGTTCATAATGTGCTTTCTCTCCCCTTAACTCATTGGTGGTAAGCAAGGCAGGTTATGATGACTAATTTACAGATGAGGAAACTGAGGTGCAGACTTGTTGTTGTTCTTATGTGCCTTCGAGTCAGACCCGACTCATAGCAACCCCTCCTTGGTTTCCAAGGTGATATCACTATGGAAGTAGATTGCCCCATCTGCCTTCTGAGGAGTGGCTGGTGGGTTTGAACTGCCAGCCTTCTGGTTAGCAGTCAAGTGCCTTAGGCACTATGCTACCAGAGAGAGAAGGTAATTTGCTCAAGGTTACATAGCCAGGGAATATGGACTCCTGACTTGTGATGCACATGTACATGGTTGAAAGGATAAGCTGGAAGATTGGGCAATATACTTATGTAGTGATGCCACCTTGGAAACCCAAGGAGGGGTTGCTATGAGTCGGATTCGACTCAACAGCAGTGAGTTCTTTTCAATAAGGATACAATTAAGAAATAAAACAAAATAATTCTTTTTCCACCACTGCTTCAGACCCCTCATCTTAGATGCCCCCTCCTCATGTCTGGAAGACATCGAGGGCAGCTTTTCTGATCAGTTGCAAAATATTTCTCTCTTCTCTGGCTAGCTAATTATGCTTGGTGCTTTCAGCTCTGTCATCTTTAGTGATCCTTACAGTAGATAAGAAGATTGAGGCTTGGAAAAATCTACTCAGAATCATCTAGATGGGAATGGTGCGGTTGAGATTCTAGCTTAGAAGTGTTGGAATCCAAAGCTTCATGTGCTCTTCAGCACACCCTGCTGTCTTGGGGCTGGCCAGCCAGCTCCTACCTCTACACCATTTGATGATAAGCCCTAATCAGGGGCTGGTGATGATGGGGCTTAGCTCAGCTAATCCTGCCTATGGAGAACATACGTAACACCAGGGGGCTAAGGACAGGTGGAAGAAAGTTTCTGAGGAAAGCCAAAGTTTAAGGGACTCCCCTGGCCTAGCTCAGGATCCCCACTTTTGCATAGATCTCACCACCTCCAGCAGGATCATACACACTCTGTGCCAGGCACAATGCATTATCTTATTTAGTCCTCCCTCTGAGCCAGCTTTTGTTATTCCCATTTTTACAATGGAAGAGGCTGAGGCTCAAGGAGGTTAACTGTCCTGACCTGGACACCCTGCTGGTAAGTGGTGAAACTGGGATTTGATCCCTGGTGTGCCCCATGCACACTGCTGGACCCTTCCCCTGGGACTGGCCCTTTGTACTTTAATGATCACACCCATGGTCCAAGTAGGGCTGGCTGTCCTCTCCCTTCCCATGATGAGGTAGAGACTGCTGTGTCCCACTGTGTGCTGCTGCCTGGAACACACTCACAGCCCAGCCTGTTGCTGTTCTTCCTTCTCAGTGTCCTGGGTTCCCTCCTGTTGCTTGGATTCCAGCTCGTCTGCCCACAGCCCTCTACTGAACACAGAAAGGTAAGCTATGACTGCTCAAAAGCTTTCCCTATCTGCATGAGGGGCTGGGGCCACTCTGGTCACCACCCTGTGCTTTTTCCTGCTTGGAGATGTGTCACCTGCTGGTCCTAAGCAGAAGCCTTATTCACAGAATGCTCACCAGTCCTCCTTTCCCTCCTAAATCCCAAGATGTCCCTAAGTTAAAGATGTAGCTGGTGCTAGAGCCAGTCTCTGATCTGAGAGCAGTACTGGCTTTGCAACTTGTATCATATTGAGTGGAACAATTAGAAAAAGGTCAGTGAAGAGACAGTGTACCAAGGTGTGGGCAGAGCTTAAAGAAACTGCCAAGGAGTGATGGTGCATTAGCAAACAGTATGGTATGGAGCTTTCCTTTACTCTAGGCCTTTAGGAGCAAGGAGTGGGGACGACTAGTGCAAGAGCTGGAGTTTCAGCTGGGCTGTAGCTTCAAAGAGGACTCCCCAATAGGAGCTGTGATTTTGCAGAGGGACATGGATGCCTGGCATGAAAGGAGCCAGAGAATACACTCTATCCACCTACCCTCCATTGCCTAGTAGTAAACCCAAGCAAAAGACAGAAGACCAAAAGCCTTGACTCAGTACCCAAAGGCCAGTCTCCTGGGCCATGGAGTTGGGTGGATGGAAAGGTGGACAGAGTGTTGGGAGGGGTAAATAGACAGTACTGTTTATATTTTCTTCAGGCTCTGAAGACTGTTGCTTAAATTAGCCTAATGCTGTCCTGTAATTGAGCTAGTGCTTGACTAATATATCCTTGGAAATAGATACATGGTATGGCTCTAGAAATTCTGAGAAAGCCCTAAAATCCCATTTAGCTACTTAGAAACTCCACATGTCTACCTGTAATGAAATGTAGACTCTCCTGAGAGGAATAATTGTCAGCCTTTAGTACCTAAGCGTGAGTGAGTTTGTGGGATCCTTTCCTGAGAGAGGGTTTTGAAAAAGAAAGTCCACGAGAGAAAGGGTGGAGTAAGGAGAGTGTGTACAAGTTTGCCTAGATCTGACAGTTTTTAGGAGCACTTCTGGAATTGTGTTGAGAATCCTATTCATCTGATTAGTCTAATTTCCTTTAGGCATGTTTTTTTGGGGGGCCAAGTATAAACTGGTATTGTACTATAAATTCCACTGGGATGTTAGCTCCATGACAGTGATCATCTTATCTGTCTTGTTTTCTGCCATATTATGAGCTCCCTGAGTAGAGGCTGGCATGTTCTTGGTGTACTTAATAAAATACTTGTTGAATGACAACTGACTGAATGGATGGAAAAGCTGACCAAGGTCAAGTATCATTTCATCAGATTCACTTGAAAATTCATATTCCCTTGCTCCTCTGCATCATCCCCATTCATAACTTCAAGAATCAGAAAGGATGGCTATTTTCATTATTGAGTTGTATTATTTATTACAGTTTCAAATTATTAGGGTTGTTAATCCTATTAGTAGAATCAGTCTACCAGTGTTCTTTTTGTTGTTGTTGTTGGCTGAATAGACCATCATAGCCAAAAATATTTCATAAATGACTGCTTTATTTTTCTGTTTCTATAATTTTTCCAAGTTAATATGAATAACATTTGCATAACATGAACAAAATGTCCCTAAATGGGTGTAATTGGAACATGGAATATATGAAGTATGAATCTAGGAAAATTGGAGGTTGTCAAAAAATGAAATGGAATGCATAAACATCAATATCCTAGGCATTAGTGAGCTGAAATGGACTGGTTTTGGCCATTTTGAATCAGACAACCATGTGGTCTACTATGTCAGGAATGACAGGTTGAAGAGGATGGGCATGGTATTCATCGTCACAAAGAATTTTTCAAGTTCTGTCCTGACGTACAATACTGTCAGTGATAGGATAATATCCATATGCCTATAAGGAAGACCCAGCAGTCTGGCGGTTCAAACCCACCAGCCACTCCTCAGAAGGAAGGTTGGGCAATCCTACTTCTGTAGTGATACTGCCTCGGAAACCCAAGGAGGGGTCTCTATGAGTTGGGGCCAACTCGATGGCATATAACAATGACAACATAAGGAAGACCAGTTAATACTACTATTATTCAAATTTATGCACCAACCACCCAAACCAAAGATGAGGAAATTGAGATTTTCACCAACTGCTGCAGTCTGAAATTGACCAAACATCTAATCAAGATGTGTCGATTATCACTGGTGATTGGATTGCAAAAGTTGGAAACAAAGAATCACTGTTAGTTGGAAAATAATGGCCTTGGTGATAGAAATAACACTGGAGATCACATGATAGAATTTTGCAAGACCAATGACTTACTGATTGTAAATACTTTTTTTTCAACAATATAAACAGCAACTATACACATGGACTTCATCAGATGGAGTACACAGGTGTCAGATTGACTACATCTGTGGAAGGAGGTGATGGATAAACTAAATATCTTCAGCCAAAACTGGAGCAGACTGTGGAACAGACCTTCAACTTCTCATATGCAAGTTCAAGTTGAAGCTGAAGACAATTAAAACAAGTCCCTGAGAGCCAAAATATGACCTTGATTACATCCCTCTTGAATTTAAAGACCATCTAAAGAATAGATTTGATGCATTGAACACTAATGAACAAAAACCAGAGGAATTGTGGGATGACATCAGGAACATCATCCATGAAGAAAGCAAAAGGTCATTATAAAGGCAAGAAAGGAAGAAAAGACCAAAATGGATGATAGAAGAGACTCTGAAACTTTCCCTTGAGTGGAGAGTATCTAAAGCAAATGAAAGAATCGAGAAGATAAAAGAGCTGAATAGATTTCAAAGAGCAGCTCAAGAAGACTAAGTCAATTATTATAATGAAATGTGCAAAGACCTGGAGTTTAGAAAACCAAAAGGGAAGAACATGCTCAGCATTTCTCAGACTGAAAGGACTGAGAAAAAAATTTAAGCCTCAGTTGCAATATTGAAAGATTATGTGGGCAAAATATTGAACGATGCAGGAAACATCAAAAGAAAATGGAAGGAATACACAAAATCACTGTACCAAAAAGAACTGGTTGATGTTCATCCACTTCAGGAGGTGGCATATGATCAAGAACCAATGGTATTGAGGGAAGAAGTCGAAGTGACACTGAAGGAATTGGCGAAGAACAAAGCTCCAGGAATTGATAGAATCCCCACTGAGATATTTCAACAAACGAATGCCACACTGGAGGCACTCACTTGGCTATGCCAGGATTAGAAGACAGCTAGCTACCTGGCCAGCTGACTGGATGAGATCCATATTTGTACCCATTCCAAAGAAAGGTAATCCCACAGAATGTGGAAAGTATTGAACAATATCATTAATATCACAGGCAAGTAAAATCTTACTGAAGATAATTCAAAGACAGTTGCAGCAGAATATTGACACAGAACTCCAAGAAATGCAAGCTGGATTCAGAAGAGGATGTGTAAAGAGAGATACTGTTGTTGATGTCAGATAGATCTTGGCTGAAAGCAAAAAATATCACAGAGATGTTTACTTGTATTTTATTGATGATAAAAAAACATTTAATTGTGTGGATCTGTGGTGGTTATGTTTTTGTCAACTTGGCTGAGCCTGGTTGAGTGGCTGGGCAGCTGGATGTAGTATTCCCCATGATGAGACTGGTAATCAACTCCCTGGTGGAATCTACTGTGAGCAGCTGAGTAGCTGCCTTTGGGATGTGGTCTGCTTCCTGTATATAAGGAGAAGCCTTGGGGAACAGTCTCTAGCTTATGGCACACTTGGACCTTGCATGTAGCCACATCATTGTTCAGCAGCCTGCCATGCTCTGCCAACCTTGGGACTTAGAATGGACTTGAATGAATGGTCTGCCATGTGGTTTGATAACATTGGGACTGTGCCGTTTTATTTGTTGACCTTGGGCTTGTTAGACTCAGCAGCCAGTAGCTGCCTGAGTGAAAAGATGCCTCTAGCTTCAATGGGCCAGGAGCAGGAGGCAGAGCTGAATCACAAGGTCGAGGGGCTTTCACACAGCCCCTAGGGCCTGGCACTTTGAATTTGGACCTCTAGCCTCCTGAACTGTAAAAGAATAAACTCCTCTTTGTTAAGGCCATCCCATTTGTGGTATATTCTTGTCAGAGCGGCACTAGGTATTCAGAACAGGATCATAACAAATTATGGATAATGTTGAGAAGAATGGGAATTCCAGAACACTTGATTGTGCTCATGAAGAACCTGTACATAGACCAGGAGGTTGTCATTTGATCAGAACAAGGGGATACAGCATAGTTTAAAATCAGGAAGGGAGTGCATCAGGGTTGTATCCTTTTACCATACTTATCCAGTTTGTATGGTGAACAAGTAATCTGAGAAGCTGGACTATATGAAGAAGAATATGGCATCAGGATTGGAGGAAGACTCATTAACAACATGCTATACGCAGATGACACAACTTTGCTTGCTGAAAGCAAGGATGACTTGAAGCACTTACTGATGAAGGTCAGGGACTACAGTCTTAAGTGTGGATTACATCGTGACATAAAGAAAACTAAAATCCTTACAACTGGGTCAGTAAGCGGCATCATGATAAATGGAGAAAAGATTGAAGTTGTCAAAGATTTCATATTACTTGGTTCCACAATCCACACCAATGGAAGCAGCAGTCAAGACATCAGATGACGTATTGCAGTGGGCAAATCTGCTGCAAAAGACCTGTTTAAAGTTCTGAAGAGCAAAGATGTCTCTTTGAAGACTAAGGTGCAGCTAACCCAAGCCATGGTATTTTCAGTTGCCTCGTATGCAAGTGAGAGCTGGACAATGAATCAGGAAGACTGAAAAAAGAGTTGATGCTTTTGAATTGTGGTGTTGGCAAAGGATGCTGAAAGTACCATGGACTGCCAAAAGAACTAACAAATCTGTCCTGGAAGAAGTGCAGCTGGAATGCTTCTTAGAAGCGAGAATGGCCAGACTTCATTTGACCTACTTTGGTCATGTTGTCAGAAGGGACCATCCCTGGAGAAAGGATATCATGCTTG